GAGAAACTTCAATTAATTCGGCCACGCTTTTCATCATCCATATAGTCAAGTGAACTGCCTCCCCCTCGGGAGATTCACAGCTCACTATCAATTCCCCAAAACTACATTGACTATTGATAGTTGACCAATTATTATATTATTTGGTCGACTATTTAAGTACTCCCCAGGAAACGATTCCTGTAACAGATTCAATGAGACCGAACCTGATGCCGAAGCGCGATAGAAATTAGGCTAAACAGAAGAATCGAAACGATAACGGGGTACAAACTGTTCTCTTAATCGATTAACAATCGATAAGTTTTCAAAATATCCAAAAACTACTGCCTCTCAAAACCCTAAAAACGAGTTTATAAAAGGTGTTAACCCTAATGACAAAAAAAAAAAACACAAAAAATACAAAAATACCCTTAATTTGAAAATTACTAAAATAATTGAAAAAAACCATCTAAACGACCCCGAATCGCGAAAATCCATTGTTAATCATAGCCAAAGGCTATATGTATTGATTAGTATGCCATTTCGCTTCAGCCGACCAAATTTGAGCTCAATCCGATATCGTTGACTTCAAGCCCGCCGGTTCGTCTAGCGCATAACGGGTCCGCTGGTCCCCTAGGTGCATCACCCTCCCCTGCTAGAGAAAGATTCGTCCTCGAATCTGCTTCGTCTTCATTATCATCAATCTCTTCAGGGTCTTCTTCCTCTTGAGTGTAGTAAGGTGACAAATCTGCTGCATTAAAAGTTCCAGAAACATTGTGCTCACCCGGCAACCCAGGTGGCAACTCTTCCGGTACGACATCAGCAAACTCCTCAAGCAAGGGCAGAACTTGGGTAGGAATTTTGGGACTGTCAGAATTCCGCTCCATCACCACAATGGTAAAAGCCCAAGCGCGTTCACTGCCTCTTCTAGAAATTATGACCTGGACAGTAGATTATTCTTCACTTCCTTTCTCAAATGTGAAGGACCTAGGGTAATGGTTCGGCCATCCTTCTTGAAGGTATAAGTATTTCTGAAACCATCATGCTGTGTCTTTCTGTCAAACTGCCACGGCCTCCCTAATAAAATATGACAAGCATCCATTGGGACTACATCACACCACACCTCATCGATGTAATTTTTTCCAATCGAAAATTGCACGAGACACCTTTTGCTCACCTTCACCTCGTTCCCTTTTCTAAGCCACGACAGCTTGTATGGTTGAGGATGATCTTCTGTTTTTAACCCCAACTTTTCCACCATAGTCATGGACACCACATTCTCGCAATTCCCACCATCTATTATCATGCTGCATACTTTTCCTCTACTAGCGCACTTAGTATGAAAAATATTATGTCTAAGTCATGATTCATCATCCGCTACAGCAACATTTAATATTCTTCTAATGACTAGGGACTCACCAGAATCAGCATAGATAATCCCTTCCTGTTCCGCATCCGCATCCTCTTCTTCGCCTTCAGATTCATCATAAACTGGACCTTCATCAAAGACTGGATTATCAACAAGCATTACAATCTGTCGGTTTGGACAATCAGCAGCAAAATGCCCGAATCCCTGACACTTGAAACACCGCTTGGCTGCAGTTCCTCCCCTGCTAGTTCCAACACTACTCTGCCCCTCCTTGGATGCAGGTTTAGAATTCGCATCCTTAACTGCAACTGGTGTCGAATTTGCTGCAGATGTTCATGTTTTTCCTCGGGATTCTTTATCTGACCACTTGGAACTGCTGCCTGACCATTTAGAATTACTGCTCTTTCTTTTAAACTGTCCCTCCACCTTTAGGGCTAGTCTGCACACATCATCATATGTCCAATACTGCTGTAATTGGACAACATCAGAGATATCATATCGCAGCCCTGCCAGATATCGTGCAATCGTCTGTTCGTCTTCCTCCACCATATCACAATGCATTCGCAAGCGATCAAATTCTTCTGTAAATTCCTCAACTGTTTTATCACCTTGCTTGACGTTATGATATTCGATAAATGCCTCTTGCCTATAATGGGTAGGCAAAAAAATTTTTTGCAATAACTTTTTCATCTTTTCCCAGCGATCCACCTTCGGCTTCTCCTCTCTAGCGCGTTGCTTTTTCACGTGTTCCCACCAAATCGATGCATGTTTTTGCAGCCTAATAGCCACTAACTTCACTTTTTGCCCCTCAGTTAGGTCTTTAAGATCAAAAATCCGTTCTACTGTATGTAACCAATCAATAAACTCATCAGGATGAGCCTTACCATTAAACTCAGGAATCTCGATCTTCATCCCGAAAATTTGCGAAGAGCGCTGATTTCCAGGTCGTACTCCTCGATTCCGCCCCTGGTTCAGAACCCCGAAAGGGTTTACGTCCTCCTCTTCATCATCGGATGGATCCTCAGATTCTGCTTCTTCTTCGGATTGAACGCCCAATCTCGCCTCCGCAAGTTGTCGCTCCAAATCCTGGATTCGTCTTCTCTGTTCTTCAATTTCTACGTCTCGCAGATCTCTTAGACGCGGTTGGTCGTCTGCTTCAGAAACGCCTCCACGCCCCCGGCCACCACGAGCCCGCCGTCCACCACCGTAATTCTGTTCAGCCATTGATTCAAGCAACCTGTGCTTTGATACCAATTGATGTCGAAGCGCGATAAAAATTAGGCTAAACAGAAGAATCGAAACGATAACGAGGAACAAACTGTTCTCTCAATCGATTAACAATCGATAAGTTTTCAAAACATCCAAAAACTACTGCCTCTCAAAACCCTAAAAACGAGTTTACAAAGGGTGTTAACCCTAATGACAAAAAAAAAAACGCAAAAAATACAAAAATACCCTTAATTCGAAAATTACTAAAATAATTGAAAAAAACCATCTAAACGACCCCGAATCGCGAAAATCCATCATTAATGATAGCCAAAGGCTATGCGTATTGATCAGCACGCCGTTTCGCTTCAGCCGACCAAATTTGAGCTCAATCCGACATCGTTGACTTCAAGCCCGCCGGTTCGTCTAGTCGCATAACGGGTCCGCCGGTCCCCTAGGTGCATCAGAACCTTATGCGCTCCATGTGATGAATTGGCGGTCCGTTCCATATAGTCACAATTGTACTTTATCGTAACTACGTGGTGGTGATGCGTGCTGTAATATTTGTACTTGACAATGTGTGTTTTGAAGGTGCAATACCTTGAAATCGAGTGAGATGGCTTCTCAGCAGTTGCAGGGTAATGCACCCTGGTGGTGTTGCAGTTGTCACACGTGTTCCAGAGAACGTACAAAAGCGGAAATACCCATTCTTTCTTTTTTTATAACTACAATGACTGCATAGAAGCTGTACCAAATAATCTCTAAATACTCATCAAAGAGTTATTGGATGTTTGTTTGTAAAACAAACAAAATAATGGTCTTTCCTTTGTCCCACATAGGAAAGTATTGAGAAAGTGGGCCGCTTTATAACTGTGAATATCTTCTTGCTCCTTAGAGTGAAGACAATGGGGTGTGTGCTAGTCCACAAAATACCCGCGTGCGGGTGCGCGAATAATTGCGCGATTTTGGTGCGATTATTAGGCGCACTTAACACTAATCCCTTTATATTTTTATTTTATTTCGTAAGGTTATCTTATTAATTTTTATTAGTTGAAAGGTCGTTTTTGTTTATTAAGTAAATTTCGAAATTATGAAAATTCGGAATTATATATATATTTATTTATTTTATTCCGAATTTTACGTGTGTCTTTCCAAGACAACTTTTGGAGATTATACCTGTTCAGTTTTCAATCTTTTCCGAAGGGTTGCATCTATTCAGTTTGCAACTTCTTCCGAAGGAAGATCTTTGTCAGCTTTGCAACCTTTCGTGAAGAGTTGCCAATGTTCTTTAAGACCGATTTCTATATATGTCAGTTTTTGGCAAGAAAGAAAACAGAGATCAATTTCTTCAAGTCTTCTTTCGAAAACTACAGCCATCATTTCTTTTGTTTCCTAGAGAGACCCTGGAGAAATACTAGAATTGCTATCTACTATTCTCATTTTGAGACTTTGTTGTATCCTGGAGGATTTTTGCCGGTGACCATTAGCAACAATTGTGGGGCAAATAAATCCTTAAGGAAAGTGATATCACGCCTCAAAATCCGATTTGATTGCTCTTTTGATTCGAAGCCATTTTACAAACAACAAGAGTGACATCTTATCAAGTGTCGTGATTCTCAGACTTTTCATCTTAGTTGATGTGGTAAAAAAGTTGGCCAGGGTCCCAATTTAATTGTGTGTTCTTCTTTGATAAAGCTATAACTGCTTGTATATTTGTAAGTCTTTTTTGTTGATATTTTATCGCACATTTCTAAGTTTTATTATCTAGCTCTTCTTTTAATCTTCTGTTTAGGTCAGAGAGCACGAGAAAGATGGAGGCAAGACTATTGCTGGCATCGATGGCGACATTTGCATATTCTCTCTGCTTTAAGTTAGCGGACAAGAACCATCTCTTTCAGAGAGTTCTTTTATACACCTCTTTGTTTAAGTGGGAGTTGACAAGAATAAGATAAGAGCAATAGACCCGCAAAAAAATGCTGCTATAAATTCTTTTATCGTAATAAAGACCAAAAAAATTTGTAAAGCAATAATTTGTGAGCATTATTTTTTGGTGCCACATATAGTTTTTTTTTCTGTGACGAATTAAAAAATTAATAAGCAATGTAGAATCGAGGAAAACACACCAGTGCATGTTCAAAAGTAATATACAACAAACCTCGTTCATACCTCGTGTTAGCGGGCTAATCATAATAATAGTTTCTATTAGACAAAATGTTGTTTTTCTCTTGTTAGGTGATAAGATTGAAGTCAACGCGAGGTACGTGTTTACCAAGACAAAACTCCCTCCACCAGATGAGCTTGTATGATAATTGCAGTTTCTTTGAGCCAGCGGAAGAACAAGTCACCAGATGCGTGAAAATGTACCATATGAGAATTCGAAGGCGGGGCATTTAGAGAGAGAGAGAGAGAGAGAGAGAGAGAGAGAGAGAGAGAGAGAGAGAGAGAGAGAATGGCGGATGCGGAAGAGGACAAGACATCGTTAGAATTCACGCCGTCGTGGGTGGTGGCTTTAGTGTGCTTTGGCATTGTGTTGATTTCTATCGTTGTTCATAGGTTTCTTCTTTGCGTCGGCAAGGTGATAACTTTCACTTCCTAAGTTCTGAGAGTATCGACCTCTCCAAAAGTCTAACTTTGACATGTCGATCGCCACATCGACAATTCGCTAACTCAAGTTTCCCGGTCGAGTGCAGCTTTTGAAGAAGTACAATATGTGGGCTTTCGTCGGCGCCTTACAGAAGATAAAAGATGGTGAGGATCCTTCTTTTTTTTTTTTTTACTATGTCACAATGCTAATGTGCTGCACATAAATGCTTCTTTTTTCTTTTTGGTTTTTTGGGTGACGACGACGTTGGCAGAGTTGATGGTACTGGGTTTCATATCGCTGCTCTTAGGGGTGTTCCAAACTAGAATAGGGAAAATTTGCATATCGGAGCGACTTGCCAATGTCTGGCTTCCTTGCAAGAAGCCCGACTCTTCTTCCACCGTCACCAGTTTCGCTACTAGTTCCTTCACTTCCAGCAGAACGCAAGGACGCTGCCTCCTTGCCGAAGCTTCTGTTGCTACCGATTTCTGCAGTCAAAAGGTAACTTTACTAAAGCTGCTTCTTCTTCTTCTTCTTCTATAACTATAGAAATCTTAAACATACAAAGGCTAATTTAAAAGATTGATGTACAAAATTATATGATAAACTGTAAATGGACACAAGTTTTTGTGACGGATTAAGAGTCTAACTAATCATTTATTATACAAGTCGTTTCAAATCTTCAGTGTTAAGACAGATCTGACAACTTAGACGAGCCAACACGATCTCTCACATTGAATGTTTCGTGCAACTGTCCTTATTTTTATTTAGGGGAAGGTGGCATTGTTGTCTGTTGAAGCCCTCCATCACCTTCACATTTTCATATTTGTGCTGGCGACCTTTCACGTGGTCCTCTGTGCGCTAAAAGTAGTCCTTGGATATCTCAAGGTATGGTGTGTGCTATGACCTTGTTGTCACTTCAACTATTTCTTTCTGTTACTTTCTGTTTCTCTTCAATATTTTACAAACAATATATTGCACTTAAGTTTCGAAAAGAAATGAGAAAACTATATGTGATCTCATGTGTACATTATTTGAGTTTTACAATTTCATAAAAATTCAAAAGTGAAAAGTAAAACTCATGCAAATCAGGAAATTCTATACAAAAGTTAGAGGCATCTCTTGGATCAACTTTGTGACATTATTTTTGCCCTTCCATGCGGTTAGATACGTCAATGGAGCCAGTTGGAGGAACATGATTCGGGGAGCACGCATCATTTTAAACTGCGAAATGGTACTGTCGTTGAATTCATCCTCCTCAAGCAATGTCGGGAAAGGGAGGGGAGCAACGTCATTGAATCCATCTATGTTTAGTCTCCAAAATTTTTCTACTCTGATTGAGATATTTCTATTCTTGGTAGAATTGCAGATATATTCAAGAAGAAGATGGAAAAATATACTAGCAACAGAACTCAACGCTTTTTCACCGAGCTAGGCAACAAAACAGCCGTACACGGCTGGGTGGTAAATCATCAAGTCTCTTGAAGCTCCCTCCGACAGCATAATGAGAAAGAGTTTGGAGGGTCTTGCCAAATTGAGTGTATCTTTACAACCTCAACTGTCATACAATTTTCAAAATGTTCTACAGTCTAATTTCATTGGATTATACTAAACTTCAGTGTTAGTTATGTGGATAAATATTTAACTTTTACATCTTTTTTCACGAACACAGTATGCTTCATGAACACAGTATGCTTAAATAGATCAAGTTTAGGGTATTTAGAAACTTAAAATGAGCAAAATATACCCAAAATTGTTACGGAAGATATTTATCAAAACCTGGAAGGAAGAGTTCTTCGACGAGAGGCCCAACATTGTCTTAAATTTTCCTCTTCTGCAGATGTCATTTTTCAAGCAGTTTTATCCTTCTGTGACCGAGTTTGAGTACATCGCTCTTCGTCTGAACTTCACCGAGGTACGTATAGGACATTCTTATTCTGAAATTTAATTTGGGTCCTAGTTGTATCATATTTGGCCTTGAAATGGTTAAATAAATAAGTTATTATTTCTGTCATGTCCATAGGCATATGATTTGGACAATCCAAAGGATGATTTTCAGTACATAATCAGGGCCGTGCAAAAGGATTTTCAGAAAATGGTTGGAATCAGGTAAATCGATTAGGCTTTACAGAAAGCAATTTAAATAGGTGTTGCCATGGTGAAAGTTAGGCTTGAAGAATGAATTGAGAGTGAAGAAAAATTTCTTTTTTTCTTACGAGAAAGAACTATATCATTTTGCTAGGGTGAAATAATGAATTGCGAGTGTCACTCGCCCCACTCTGCATGAGACAGGATGAATCTCCATTGGAACATGTCAAATTACTCATCCTAATTTGAAGGCACTACTACACATATAAATGTCTTTTGGCCAAAAAAAATATAGCACCAGACTTTACTTTATGAATAGGAGAATGTTATTGAACCAACCAATCCTTCTTGGACATTATTAAATTCATGAAAGACAATACAATATGACGTTCTCACAAAAATGATACTTAAGATATTGAAGAATGTTTAGCTCTTCTTCAGGCATACTGATTTGCATTTTTTTTTACAAATATTGCAGGTGGTACTTGTGGTTATGCGCAGTTATCTTTTTGCTCGTGAATGTAGCCGGTGAGTGACGTAAGCATGCATAATTATTCTGTTTAGTAGTGGTAACTAGAAAGTTGGTGACTATCATGGAGAAAAAGATGTTTGGTAAAGCAACTCAAGTTGAATGCTAGTATACAGACACAAAATTCCCAGATCACATGGTCTTCCTGGAGAATGGTTGTGAGTTATATACATTCTGGCCATAAAATGAGCTAAAATGATTGATTCTTACTATGCCTTGAATTAGCCCGATACACAATGTAATATGTGAAAGGAAAAATAAATTCTGTGAAACAGTGCTTCCCTAATACAAGGAAAATTTTCATTAAGGATGAGCAAATCATTATTAATGACGTTGAAAAATTGTTTTGGATCTTAATATTATTGCATTAGAAATCATATGAACACACTTGACTGTGAGTCCCTGTTTGAAACCTGAAATATGCATGTCAAACTGGTTTCGTTGTGTTTTAGCAGAACAAGAAGTGATGTTTTTCTGCAATTAAAGTTCGACTTTCCGAATGAAATCAATATTGGTTATGAATGGAGCTCGATAGTATCTTTCTTTTCTTATTTGCCTTTGAGAAGAAAGACATCATCATTGCAATCCGTTACTTGGTACAATCTTGCAGGATGGCATGCGTACTTTTGGATATCTTTCATTCCGTTGACTGTAAGTAGTGATAAAAACTCCCTTTCTGAGTCATTATATCTTGCAAATTCCAAATGATTTATGATGAAAAAAGATCATGAGAGGCATTCTCGCTAATTCTGCTCAGCTTTTGCTCATCGTCGGCACCAAATTGGAGCATATGATAACACAACTAGCCAAAGAGGTTGCCGAAAAGCGTTCACAAAATGAAAAGAACTCTCCTCCCAAAGAAAGTGCAAAGGAGTTGGTTGTTCAATTTTCAGACAATAAATTTTGGTTCGGTAGGCCTCATCTCGTCCGCAACCTGATTCACATCGTGTTATTCGAGAACTCTTTGGAGCTTGCCTTCTTCTTCTTTATATTAGTGAGTATAAATAACTCAAATTGTCATTATCATTAGTGATGTTAAGCAAAGTTTCTAGCATATGGCGAAAATTCCAATTAATGCGCCATCGTATCTCTCCGCAGTTCCAATATGACTTTCACTCTTGCGTTATGGGAAAGGTTGGTTTTGTCGTCCCAAGAATAGCAATTGGGTAAGACCTGTCGCTCATGTCAATTTTATCATTGTCTTGTAATCTGTGTTGTATATCGTAAATAGTCGAGGCCTAACAATCAATTTCACATATGTGGCATGTGTCGCTCTCTCAGAGTGTTTGTCCAGTTCATGTGCATCTACAGAATAATACCACTATACGCAATTATGAAATCACAGGTGAGTTGAACTTACAACCACAATCAAGATTTGGTAGTTTTGCTTTCTCTCCGAGTTTAAATCACAGGTCTGAGGATGCAAAATGTTTTTCATTTGTCTCAATGAAATGAAGATGCATGTGAAGGAGGAGCAATCAGACAAACGGAAAGAAATGTGTCGTGATCTTGAGGAAATTAAGACGCTTTACAAGGACCGTTCGGACAAATGTATGAAAAAGTGTCTTGATGATCTCGATGAAATTAAGATACAGTTGAAGGAGAATCGGACGGACGAAGAGGAAGAAATGTGGATCGTGACCAGGATTTCGAAGTTGATCGATAACAGAAGGAAACCAAGATTTTCAAAGGTGGACGCAAATACTGAATCGATCCAAACCGGTTCGAGAGAGGGATCTGTTTGAGTTGAGATAACAATCCGGTGACATGAATAGGAGACGTTGAAGCACAAAATAGACAACCAAGCCTTCACCAACATTCGAAACAAATGAGATCATAAATTGATTTGTTGATGAACTTCTGTTTCTTTTTTCTTTGCTTACTATGTACACAAAACGGGAGCTCGAGTCTTACTGCACAATACTTCTTTCCTCGTTGGTGATGCTTCTTTTACCCGAGAACCAATCGATGAGCATATGCTAGAGTCGTGCATGTAAGAGTTTTTCTGATATGACTTAAATTAATTGAGATTGTAATTTACCGTTATATGGGATTGATCTAATAAGATGAGATATAAAAATTCTTAACTTGTCTAATATGAGTCTGGCTCGCCTGTGATGAGAGGGCTTGTGGCTGAAAATTCTTTAAATAAAGCTCAAGTCTCTTCCGTAACCCCGATACACAAATAATCTCACATAAGTAGCAGTTGCAGAATATGATTGGTGAGTGGCAATCTCATTAAACTAGCGATACAAGGGGTAATAGAGGAGAAGCACTTGTGCTGAGGATTATCGCTATTTCGCATCAAGAACAATAGATCTTAAATTAGGTGCGCAAATCCCTTTTTTTTCAATTACAGTGTTCTCAATTCTAGCTATAGAGATCTTGGGTGTCCTTTTCGCAACTTACATGTGGTATTAGAGCCGCCATAGTCTAAAGCTAGAACCTTTGTATTTGGGCTTTTTTTCGGAATTTTTGGCCTATGAAAATTATTTTTGATCACATAAATGAAAAGAGCTCATCGACGCGAGCTTTTTGATGGGTGGCGCACCTCCAGGGGATGCCGCATGCACCGCTGCAGCGACGGCGTGCGATGCCCACGCACGCCACGCACGGGTATCGCCTAGCGCGCGCGTTGCAGGTGCTATGGTTGAGGTGCCCGGGGCTAATGTCATCATGACATCAACAATCCGCTGACGTGGGTTGACTCGGTTGACAGTGGGTCGACCCGACTTGAGGACCAGATCTGGGAACCAACCCGGGTTGACCGTTGACTGGTCAAAACTGGTCGGACCAGAAAATAAGGCCGAACCGAATCGGCAATTCAGGCCGGTTTGATCCAGCTAAGCATGTGCCACACGTGCTGCGCACTTAGGCAATGCTTGAGGGCACGTCCAGGCTCCGTTTGCAGCGTGCTTGGTATCGGCGTTCTCGTATCAAAATGCTCTACAATGTGGTGTATTTAGTTTACATGTTTGATGTTTTTAAAAATGTGCAATGTGGTCCCTGAACTTTTAATTTGTTCAATGTGGTTCAAGGACAACATTGAACATTTTTATAAAGTGCAAGGACTAAATTGAATATGTACCAAAAGTCCATGAATCACATTGAACAAATTATAAAATTCAGGGACCACATTGCATATTGGGATAAAGTTCATGGACCACATTGAATAATTTGAAAGTTCAATGACTACTTTGCACATCGGGCCTAAGATCAGGGGCTATTTGTGTCATTTTCCCAATAAGAAAACGGCATGAATATTGTGGTGGTTTCGCATCCTTCTTGACTGTAATCATCAGAATGAGGTGAGAGCACAACTCTTTTAATGGTTGTAAGTTTTGGGCAAGTGTACATAAGAAAGAGGTGGACGCGATAGCCGGTGTGATGACGAGTATTTAGGGGTGAGCATTGGGTCCAGTTCAACTCGGGAACTGAACCAAATTGTTCAGTGAACGCCGAGGTGGAAGCGAATCGGTTTACGAGAGAGAGGGCATTATTCATCATGTGGGCAAAATCCACTACCCTTTGCATCACCGCCACCTTTACGCCCCATCTCATAACCAACCCCAGAACTGATCCACGCAGGTGTTCTTATCCGTTATCGTGGCACTTACCCACATCTTCATGTTGCTCATGTGTCATGTGAAGTCCTAGCCCACGATCCGACCCGACCAACTGAGCTTCCTCACCGACTCGGCTAGCCAGCCCTTGGAGTCACTCATTCTTTAGGGGGAATAATTTAAGAAGAACAATTGCAAAGAACTGAAACCCTGTTCAGGTCAGGTCTGATTTAGGTCTAGGTCGGGGCACGTATGAGTAGCAAAAAATGTATAATGTGAAAATAAATCAATTTGGATCGGATCATTTTTTACCCAATTCAATCCACCCATTTGACGGCCCTAATGGCTATCAATTAAGGCTTTAATCGTGTATAATCAATGTGAAAATGTTGTTTATTTATTTTATTCATCCCCTTCTCATTATTTGTGTGTGCTGGTAACGTTTTGCTAATGTCCATCTGACCGTTGAATGTGATGCAAACATTACCTCATTTAATGAATTTAACAGTAAAATAACGTTATTAAAATTTGACCCAATGTGCAACAGACGAGATTTATATTGCTTAAATTTGAGAGGAAGCCTGGGACCAAAGAAATATTATCCGTGTTAAGTCAAGTTAATCACATAAAACATGAAGAAAAGTTGTATGGTGCCTATTGATTTCTACCTCAAAACAATAGTTTCCATACTCTTTCCACCATGTATTAGAACAATTAAGGTAATGGCCGTGTGGTCAACTGTTAAAACCTGTCTTTTCGATCAAGTTTAGCTTGAATGTGATGTGGCATTAGTTATGCAATAAAGGGTCCTCCGCTCGTAGTAATCTTGATGCCACACTCGCCACTCATGAATGGAGCATTATCCGGTAAACAAGGACGGAGCGATTATCTGCATTCATGGACATTAGTTGAATCTAGATATATGTACCACATTCAAAATACAACTAAATTGTGAGATTTTGTAGGACTAGTGTCAACTATCATAAAAACTTAAGCTATTAGATGAAGGCGTGATTTAATATTTAAGCTTTTAGAACATATGGAAGTGATCTAATATTTAATTGAGAAGACAAATGGAATCTGAAAAGATTTGAACTCAGGACCCTCAACTCTGATATCAGATTGAGAAATGTGAATGAACAAAATATTATTTTTCTCTTCCGTTCACATTTCCCAACTTAAATAAATCAAAATGCTATTTTTCTTAAGTCTGCCTCCTGTTTCAATACCCTTTTTGGTCTTGTCCATTGTCAACTCCCTTCTGTTTGGACAATTACAGCTAAACATCGATATTTGTTTCCACTGTTCTATTTTTTCCCCCCTTAAAGTCACTGGACAGTTGGAGATTAACAATAAAAATTGACTAATTGACATTGACCCAACTAATTTTTGTCGGCCTTAACATCGACCAATAAAGTTGACATTGCATAAAAATATTCCCCAACTAACGTTATTTGAAGCGGATTCATTGGAGCGGAAGCCCTTTTTTTCATTCTCATTTTTGTTAATTGGTCAAAATAAAATTATTTTTTTATTATGTCATGGAGCTTCTTCACCTCATATTGATAAACTCCGAATTCATCAACACCCCACCAATCATGATTCAAGACATATGACCAAACAGCTCGAATGAGTGAGCGAAGCGTGAAATTGACTTCACACTTGCTAATTGTTAGTTAAATTTTTTTGTCAGAAAACAATGGAAAAGATAACTTTTAAATGACGAACTTGCCTCTTGACAAAAAAAAAAATGACGAACTTGCCTGGTTGAGGGTTCATATGACTTGCACATGTCTTAAGTCTTTTCATCCGGGTCTTTTTTAAATCCTCTGTTTTAGGTGAGAGCACGAAAATCATGGAGTCAATGGTATTGCTCTTTCAGAAAATTAGATAGAGTCGTAAACACGCAACAAATGCTATATAAAAAAAGGGTTATAAGCAATCTAGAATCCACAAAAGATTATGGTTAATTGTTCGCTAAGAAATTACCACAAACCTCGTTGACTAGCTAAGAACAGTGAGCCAGTGAAAACATATAACATGCAAGTTTGCACAATCAATAAGGAAATCCTAAAGAAATCCTATTTGTTATAACGAAAGGCACGATAATGTGCAATTAAACACTATGAAAGTAGAAAACCACCCGAATTCACGTTGAAAAGACGGATTTTGAGTCCGAAAACGACCTCGAATGGATGCCTTGATTTGGCCGAGACATTGCATTCTGAACCAACTTTTCCATTTGGTATCGCAGGCCCCATGACTCCATCTAGATCAAACATTATGACTCGCTCATCGAGTATTGCGCGATTATTCATTTTGAGCCCGCCTTTTGGAATACGTTCCAAAAAGTCTTTAACAGCGACGTCCATGTCAAATAGGGACAAGAACTCCAAATTACACCTAGAATACCCAAATCTGATGATCACAACCATAGAGGAACCGGAACCGGGGTGCATAGATTATTATGAAATGAATTGGAGCTCAAACTTATACATTCTCCTGTCAGAAGCTTATGTTAAATCAATTTTGCATGAGCTGCCTTGTCTCCGTAGCTGTGAAGTTTGCCTTACAATATTTCCCGATTTTTAGCGACAAACTGGAGTCAACGGGAGGTGTTATTCGGGGCATTGGAAGAGCAATTTTCAAGTTCTGTATTGCCGCGTTCTTGTTAATTAAGTCCATCTTCATCGCACAGATGAGTCTGTGCACTGGTATTCTATTAACAAATAAGAGTAGCACATGGGTTCATATTTACGTGTCTATGTCATCCTATATATATGGGTGTGTGAGGATATGAAGGAGGGTACATCAAAAACACGCAGAGAGAGAGAGAGAGAGAGAGAGAGAGAGAGAGAGAGAGAGAATATGGCGGATAGCGGAGCAGAAGAGAAGACGTTAGAGTTCACGCCGTCGTGGGTGGTGGCTCTAGTTTGCTTCAGTATAGTTCTGATTTCTCTTGCTGTCGATAGATTCCTGCTTTGCGCTGGCCAGGTGCCTGTCTTCTTTCGCTCGTATCACCTTTCTAAAGATTTAGCTCCAAGACACCTCTTGGTATCAAAGAACGCTGTGTAACTTTGAGTTTACCGTCGAATTAATGCAGCTTTTAAAGAAGTCCAGATGGGAGCCGCTGTTCGGCGCCTTACGGAAGATCAAAGAAGGTGAAGGATCTACTTTTGACCCCTCCTTTTGACAACGTCAAATTCAGACGGGTGCGAATATGAATTTTACATTAACGTCATCAATGTTGGTGCAGAGTTGATGCTGCTGGGGTTCATATCGCTGCTCCTGGCGGTGTTCCAAACAAGAATAGGGAAGATTTGCATATCGGAGAGGCTTGCCAACGTGTGGCTTCCTTGCAAGAAGCTCGACTCGTCTTCCACCCCAGCCCGTTTCACTAATTTCTTTCGGTCCAGTGAAGCACGAGGGCGCCGCCTCCTTGCTGAGGCTGCTGCTTCAACTGATTTCTGCGGTGAAAAGGTAATTTTATTCCACCAGCCTGCCCCGCGAAGCTCTGTCTTCATTAACTTCGTTTATGTGTATTCTCCTTATCGTGACAACGGAGATGATATAAGTAATGATGGGGATACAAATGCTAGTTTCCTAATTTGTTTATAAAATTGCATGATTTACTGTAAGGTGAACACAACAAATAATCAAAGTGTGCATTTTAAATATTCATCAATAGTCTGTCACATCATTTAATAAATCAGCACAATTAAGTCTCTGCACATCTATAACGTTACGAGAGAGAGAGATATCGAAAAGATTATATGAGAAAAATATACAAGGTCTCACAAAGAACATTTTGGTGCAACTTTAATTTTTCCAGGGGAAGGTGCCATTGCTGACAGCTGAAGCACTCCATCACCTGGACATCTTCATATTTGTGCTAGCTACCTTCCACGTGATTCTGTGTGTGTTCAAAATAGTGCTTGGATATTGGAAGGTATGGCACATATACTACATTCTAAATCTCTCCAAACGTATCTTGGACCAATTCTGTGACACTCGCCTTCCACATTGCTGTGTTCATTAGATACATCGATGGGAAAAATTGGCGCACCCTGATGTCGGGAGCAAGCATTATCACGAACTGCATGACAGTAAGCAAAGACCGTCACACTAGACTCATTTGCTTCTCGAATTTCTGGTACCAATTGTCTCCGTTTGGGGGAAGAACAGCAGAAGTGCCAAAAGTTATCTATGGAGCTCACTTTAATGCCAAAAGTTTCATTTGGATTACTTAAGTGCCAAAAGTTTACGCCGGCGATCACTTAAGTACCAAATCGGAGAAAAAACGATCACTTAAGTGCCAACGGCAAGAAATTCCGATCAAATTTAATACGTGACTTTTATATTTAAATTTTAATGACATGTGGCATTTCCACGTGTATAATTCAATTTTTTAAATATTTTTTTTTCTGATTTTTTTTTCTTTCTTTTCTTTTTTCTTTTTTCTTTTCTTTTTCTTCTACCATGGCCGGAGGCCAGCCACCGGCCAGGTCGGCCTCGCCGGGCGTCGCCTTCCTCCGGGCGAGGCCCGGCTAGGCAGTCGTGGCCTCGGCGAGGGCCGGCCTCGCCGCATTTGGCGAGGCGAGCCCTCACCAAGGCCACGGCGGCCTCGCCGAGGTGTCGCCTTCCTCCGAGCGAGGCCCGGCGAGGTCGATGTGGCCTCGGCGAGGGCCGACCTGGCCGGATCTCGGCGAGGCGAGCCCTCGCCAAGGCCACGGCGGCCTCGCCGAGGCGTCGCCTTCCTCCGGGCGAGGCCCGGCGAGGCCACCGTGGCCTCGGCGAGGGCCTCGCCGAGGCCACGGCGGCCTCGCCGGGCCTCGCCCGGAGGAAGGCGACGCCCGGCAAGGCCGGCCATGGCCGGACGCCGGCCATCGGAAATAAGAAGAAAGAAAAGAAAAAAAAGAAAAGAAAGGAAAAAAGAAAGAAAAGGAAAAAAAAAGAAAAGAAATGCCACATCAGCCTCCGGCGAGCCACATCAGTCTCCGGCAAGCCACATCAGCTCGAGAAATTAATAAAAAAAATGCCATGTCGGATTTCCGGTGAAGTGGCATTTAAGTGATCGTTTTTCACAACTTTTGACACTTAAATGATCCGTTTGAAGTTTTTGGCACCAAAGTGAGCGCCGTACACAACTTTTGGCACTTCTAGTGTTCTTTCCCCGTCTCCGTTTTCTGTGAATCTGACTAAAGTGGTCATATCTATGTCGTTTGGACCTGCAGAATTACTACAGAAGCAACCAGAAAACCGAGGTTGTCTCGCTTTAGGCAATAAACCGAAAGCGTTTGGCTGGATGGTAATAGTCTCTATGAGTCTCTTGATATACAATGCAACAACACTCTTCAGTGAAGAAGTTCACGTAGAGCTATAGGCTTCTCTTTACATATCTTCGTGTTCTGCAGTGTTCATTTTTCAAGCAGTTTTATCCTTCTGTGACTGAGTTCGAGTATCGGGCGCTTCATTTGAATTTTATGGTATGCCATTCTTCTGCAAATGTAGAATTAATTTTCCATCGTAGACTAGTCATGCACTAATTTCGATGAAATGCTTCATACAATAATTTTTCCGTCTTCTTTACAGGCACGGCATTTGGATAAGCGGGGGGAAGCTTTTCGCAGCTTTGTACCTGGTGCCGTGAAAAAAGATTTTGAGAAAATTGTTGGAATTAGGTAATTACTAATTAGTACACCTTTGATGCTAACGAAGCATATTTTCTTTCTTTTTTTTGGGAGATTTAAACTTGGCGAGCGAGTAATCGAGTTGAAAATGACGGAACAAGAGAGAATATGTCACTTTATCGACAAGAAGGAATTATATTTCCACTTCAACTATTCCGTTTGTATTTTGTTTTTGGAAAAACAGTGCCTTTCTCTATGCTGATAGATTTTCGAAAGAATTGGCAAATGTTTGAATAAAAAAATGGAAACCGGTTATTTGATTTTTCGGTGAAATTATTAACTCGTTTTAATGATATGCAAATTATCAACTTTTCTTATCTTTTATCACAATTTATTTTGCCTTTCTTGTTAATGCTTCACAATAACTAACTCTTATATGAATTTTCCAATCTTTATTTTAGTAACTTATCAATTTTTTTTCCGACTAAATTACCAATTAGTTTTGAATTTATTAACTTTCATTTGTGTTACTTACCAATGTTTATTTGGTTTTTCTTTTGTTAATTTATTGATGTTTTTTACCAACTTTTATTTGTCTTTCTTACAAACTTTTGTATGAATTTTCAATATTTGTTTATGTGATTTACTAGCCCTTCTTCATTAGGTTACCAATCAATTTTGATTTATCAACTCTCGCTTGGATTATTTGTCAACTTGCAATTATTTATTTTTTAAAACCTTGCAATATCTCTATTGAGTTACCAACTGTTTTTTGCCCTACTTACTGCCCGTTAAATGTACCGACTAATATTTTTTAGAAATTACAAATCTTAATTAGAGTGATTATCAACTTCTTCCGTTGATTTACCAATTTTTTTTGTCTTGCTTACCAACCCGTTCAATTTATTGACTAACTTTAGAAATTACTAACCTCAATTCAAATGATTATCACCTTAATTCCCATTAAGTTACCATTTAGTTTTGTGTTACCCATTCTTATTGAGTTAGCTATCGATGTTTATTTGATTTTTCTTTGAATTACCAACTTCCCTTAATTTTGACAAACCAAAAACTTATAGTGTACCAACTTCCAATTATTTGCCTTTCTTACCAACGACTTAGACTTACCAACTATTGAAGGATTTTACCAACCTTCATTTGTGTCATGTACCAACTATTCTTCAATTAAGTTACTAAATTATTTTTGGGTTACCCAACCGTCCTTTAAGTTTATTAGCAATGTTTATTACTATTCTCTTAAATTTACCAAATTTTATATTTTTTTTTGGTCAGAACCAACTTTTCTATTGAGTTGTACAATTATTTGCCTTTCTTACCAACACTTTACCAAATCCTTTTAGAAATTTCCAATCTCAATTAGAGTAATTAACGACCTTTGTGCGGTTAAGTTATCAATTAGTTTTGCGTTACCAACTTTTTTTGAGTTAGTACCAACATCAAATATTGTTTATTTTTTAATTACGAACTCTTCTTATTTCTGGCCCCCCCAAAAAAAAGCTTCTTTTATATTTCACCAATGTTTATTTACCTACTCACGCCTTATATTAACCACCTATTATATGAAATTATCAACCTTTTATATGTGATTACCAACTTTTCTTCGATTAAGTTGTCAATTATTTTTGGTTTATCATAGAGTCGCTTAACGACTTATATTTGTTTCAAAATTTTACAACCTTTACTATTGAGTTACTAGTTTTATTGTCTTGCTTACCGGCCTTTTTTATGATTATATTACCTACTAGTCTTGCATTACTAACTCTTTTATGAGTTTGTTGCCCACATTTATTTGGTTTTTTCTCAACTTACAAACTTCATTTTATTTCTGACAAAAAGTTCTCTTATTTTTTACCAATTTTTTATTTACATTTCTTACCAATGCCTTAAATTTACCAACTATTATGTGAATATATCAACTTTTCATGGAGTGATTTACCTGTTTTTACACTTACCAACCTTTATCGAAGTTTATTTTGACGGAAAAAAATTCCACATTTTTGGCACTATATAATAGAATTCTGCTATTTAAGTTTGCTTGCCATTCGGAACGTGGTAATGCTGGTGTCTTTTGGGTTGGGTGTAATTGCCACTCCTAATCTCCAAACTCTTCTCATAATTAAGGCCCAATTATTCTCAACTAAACAAAATGAAAAAGAATTGAAAAGCTAGACGTAAGTTTAGTAATCGGAGACAAAGTACTGAATAACTACGGCAGTAATGACGGACTTTTCATGGAAGACAGTACGTTATGACTTCTCACAAGAATATATATAGTAAACAGAGAGTGCTGAGCTCTTGGCTTGTTGGTTTCGGTTTTTGGCCATTGCAGTTGGTACTTGTGGATATTCGCAGTGATCTTTTTGCTCGTGAATGTGGCCGGTGAGTGACTTAAGCACAATTCCGCAGCATTGTTTCATTGATGATAGTATTATCATGTCTATCGACTATGTATCTTCTTTCCTTTTGCAGGATGGAATGCGTTCTTTTGGATATCTTTCATCCCCTTGACAGTAAGTAGTGGCAACTTTACTAGTCATTATGTTTGCTTGCCCTTCAAGATATGGCATTTTGCTCATCCTGGAATTTACTCCAGAGAGTGGATGTCCCTAAGAAACGTTTTCCATCTGAAGAACAAGATGTGTTGCATTGTAAAATTCTGAAAAATATAAGATGTTTATTTCTCCCACGGAATTAAGGAGACTCCACATGTAACTGGTGCTTCTCACTTCTGTGCAGCTTTTGCTTGTTGCCGGCACCATACTGGAGCATATGATAACACGACTCGCAGAAGATGTTGCCAAAAAGCATCCTGAAAATGTAACCCGCCCTGATTGCAATGTTGTCGAATTTCAAAGTCACTATTTCTGGTTCCGTAACTCTCAATTCGTCCTCAACTTGATTCACATCGTGCTATTCGGGAACTCCTTGGAGCTTTCTTTCTTCTTCTTTATATTGGTGAGCATTATTACCCCTCAAATTATCATCCTCATTTCAATTAAGCAAAGTTACTGGCCATATTGGGGAAATTCCAACTGTATAATGCTTTCTCGTATCTCTATGCAGTTCCAATATGATTTTCACTCCTGCATTATGGGAAAGGTTGGTTTTGTCGTCCCAAGAATAGCAATAGGGTAAGACCTATTGCTCATGTCAATCATATCATTGTTCTATACTCCGTGAGTTGTATAGGGTTAATAATTGAGGCCTAACAATCGATTTCACTTATGTGGCATTTGTCGCACTCTCAGAGTGTTCGTGCAGTTCATGTGCATCTACAGAACATTACCATTATACGCAATTGTGAAATCGCAGGTGAGTTGAACTTACAACTTACTATGCACTCCAGATTTGGTAGTTTTTGTTTTTTTTTCCCTCTTTGAGTATAAATCATGGAACTGAACATGCCGAATTCTTTTTATATGTCTCAATGAAATTAAGATCCCTCCTCCGAAGGAGAAGCAATCGGACAAACAGAACAAAAGTCATCTTCTGAAGGAGAACCAATCGGAAGAATGTAAAGAAGAGCGTCTTGCTGATCTTGATAAAATTAAGATAGGGTTGAAGGAGAATGAAATGGACGAAGAGGAAGAAATGTGGATCGTGACCAAAATTTCGAAGTGGATCGATAAAAGAAAGAACTCAAACAAGGTCGCTGCAAAAAATGGATCGACCCAAACGGATTCGAGAGAGGGATCGGTTGGAGTTGAGGCAACAGAATCCGATGACAGGAACTCAAGAGGAGACATTGAAGCACAAGAAAGATAATAAAGCCTGCACCAACATTCGATACAAATGAGACCATATATCTCTTTATTCATGAACTGTTGTTTTCTTTTCCTTTTCGTAATATGAACACATTATAAGAGCTCGAGTCATGCTGCACCATAATTCTATTCTCTTCACTGGTGCTGCTTCTTTTATCCGGAATCGATCGATGAGCATCTGCTAGAGTTGGAAATAATAATAATAACAATAATATCAAATTTGCGTGTAGTCTGGTCGATCTAAGCAAAGAAAATATTTTTGATCGAATAGAGTGGCTACAGTCGCAACATATAACTCTCACCTGTTTATGTGAAGAATATTATAAATTTTTAAGGAGTTAGAAAATTGGTAATAAAATTACCGGCCACCTGATTCCCCCCCACCCCCAGCTTATTAAAAATCCTTTGAGACAGTTACGAAGGTGCCCACTTTTTAACAGTTTACAAATCACAAACTTTCTTTTTTTATCTCCTGCACCTTTAGATTGTTGTCAAAAAGTGATTTGCAAACTGTTAAAAAGTGACCAAAACGCCCACTTTTTCACAGTTTGCAAATTTGGTCACCGTTAAAAACTGGCGGTTGTCGTTAAAAAGTGATCTGGTCACCGTTAAAAACTGGCGACTGTTGTTGAAAGGAAGGTAAACTGGCGATTGTTGTTAAAAAGTGATTTGCGAACTGTTAAAAAGAAAGTTTCCAAATTCCAAGACATATAATTTATGTCTTGGAATTTTGATTTTTCTTTTGCGGGATGGCATATGTTCTTTAGGATATCTTTCATTCCCTTGATTCTGTATTTCTGTAAGTAGTTTTTAACCTTTCGGATGTTTGTTTCTCTATCGTAATTAAGAAGACTCTACATCCTACTAGGTTTCTCGCTTCCGTGCAGCTTCAGCTCATTGCTGGCATCATACTGGAGAATATGATAACACGACTCGCAGACGAGGTCACCCAAAAGCATTCAGCAAGTGCAGACCGCACTCGTAGCCAAAAAAGCGAAGAGGACTTGGTTGTCGAATTTTCACCTTACTATTTCTGGTTCCGTAGGCCTCAATTCGTGCTTCACTTGATTCACATCGTGCTGTTCAGAAACTCCCCAGAGCTTGCTTTCTTCTTCTTTATATTGGTGAGCATTCATGTAGCTCAAATTATTTTTTCATTTGTATTGAGCAATGTTTCTGGCCGTATTGGGGGAAGTTCCAATATGATTTTCCCTCCTGCATTATGGGAAAGGTTGGATTTGTTGTACCAAGAATAGTAATCGGGTAAGGCCACTGATTGCTCATATCCTTGTCCTTCGATTATCCCCATGTGCCAGATTAGATCGAAATTCCGAAAGCCGGTTGATGCTCTAGAGTAGCTGCTAGAAAATTCCGAATCCTCCTCGAATCGAATGCACCAATCCCTTTTTCCTCTCAAGGTCTTTATTCCCCTTCAGCGTTTCTATCTTCTGGCTCGCATATACTGCCTAGTGCCTAGTGTGCCCAGAATTCTCTCACAGTTTGCTCGAGAATTCTGTGCGAGAGGTTGCTGTTTGTGCCATGAGTTCTCTGTTATGGGTGTGTGCTCTGCCCCCGGAACTCATCCTCTCTGTTTTTGCTTCTTTTTCTTTTCCGGCAGCATCCAGTGACCGAGGATATCTCACTCCCCTTGGCCAATTGTCATCTCTCCTTTGTATCTCCGAACTGCACCCCTTTCTTCTCTTTCTCTCTATCTCTGCCTCTTTCTGCACCAAGGCTCTACCTCTCTCCTCTGTTCAGCGCCTATGCCCTGCCATCTCTTTGCTTCACTCAACCTTCTGCTCTTTCTCTGTTTTCTTTATCTCTTTTGGGTTTTTTTTTTTTGGTAAGGACTTTATCTCTTTTGGGTTTATCCTCGCCTGCACGAATAAGGAGTACTCTTCGTTTTTCTCTCTTCTTGCTAGCACCGACTGAACCCACTTTGTCATTTTGTGTGCCGATGACCTGCTTTAATCCTCGGTTGCTTTTTTTTTTATCTCCCTCACGATTGTCTAGCTGAAAGTGGCCTAAACGAGGGCCATTTCGGTGAACAAGAAGGAGGGAATGGTAATTAGGGGTGAGCAAGATGACCGCCCAAACCGGGATCGGATCGGACTGGACCAGACCAACCAGTTTTGTCCGGTTCTTGGGAATATCGGTCCGATTCCCAGTTCCTAAAAGTCGAACCGATTCCGGTTCTAGGGTGAGAACTGGACCGGACCGATAAATATATATTTTTCTAATTTTTTCATATATATATATTTATTTACATTTTAATTTTTTTAAAAAAATAGAAAGCTTAATCTAATTTCCTTAATTCTCATTTGCCTTTACCAATAAGTGATTGGTCCCATTGGAATCGGACTAGACCGATGATGGTCCGGTCCGGTTCACGGTCCCAAGACTAGCTGGTCCAGTCCCCGTTCCTAGAAACTGGGAACCAGTCCTCCCGGTCCACTTCTCGATTCTTGGTTTGGATCGGACCAGACTGGGAACTACTCACCCCTAATGGTAAGGATGAATTTGGAGAGATGGAGAGGGAGATCGGGCTTGTGGGATCAACCTTAAGTGACGGAATGGGATTAGGCTTCGCCTGGATGTTAGGGCCTTATCCAAAACCTCCATAAAAATTCTTGTTTAGGGTGTGTTTGTTTGGCCAAATTCCAAAAAAAACCCCAAACTTTAAACTTTGTCCCAATTATACCCTGAACTTTTTTTTTGTCTCAAGAAAAACCTCAAACTTTTCTCCCAGTCCCAAATCTACCCTACCGTTATAACTCCATCCAATTAACGTCGAAAAAAAAAAAAAAACAGAACCGAAGCGGCGCGCTGCCAAAGCCTTCGCCGGTGGCCGCCGCCACGACTCGGCCCGGGAAGGAGCGGCGGCCCTCGCCCGGGCCTTCCCGAAGGCCGGCGACCTCGCCGGCCCGGGCGAGTCGCCGGCCTCCGGAAGGCCCAGGCGAGGGCCGCGACCCCCGTGCGAGGCCTCGCACAGGGTCGCCCACCCTGGCGAGGCTCGCCCGGCCTTCTCGAAGGCCGGCGACCTCGCCGCCCGGCGAGTCGCCGGCGAGGGTCTCGCGGCCCGATCCGGGGCGAGGGTCGCGCCCTCCCCGGATCGGGGCCGCACCCTCGCCGGCAACTCGCCGGGGCCGGCGAGGTCGCCGCCTCGGAAGGCCTGGGCGAGGCCTCGCCCGTGGCCGCCGACCCAGGCGAGGTCCGCAGCCCCCCGATCCGGGGAGGCGCGACCCTCGCCCCAGATCGGGGGCTGCAGACCCTCGCCGGCGACTCGCCCGGGGCCGGCGATGTAACAGTCTGAATTTTCGATCCTTTTTCCCGGGATTTAGGAAATGAATTTGACCAATGCGCTATAGTGAGATCTCACCCGGGAACCGCGCATTCTCGGGATGCTAACCTTAGGGGTAGGGCTATTACGGGATTGAGTTCGCATGACCAAAGAACTCGACTGGGTTCGATCTTTGACTATATGGATTGACGAGGAATGTTTTGAGCCAACCGAGACCGGTCTATTTGATTGATCGTGTCCGAAGGGCACTAAATGATGACCCTCGCAATTATATGACGATCGAGGTCGCCTTGGTTCGAGCAAACTTAAACGTGATTTGACTGAGTGTCAGTCACAGGTCGAGAGCGCGTAATCCTAATGAGCCACCCGTTAGCAAGAGATAAGCTAAAGTCGCGATTGGTCAATTTTAGTCATTTCTTGGAATTCGGGCCCGGGAATCGAGAATTTTGAAAGTGACAATTTTGAGCGGCCGAGGACGTTTTCGGCTTGGCCAACCTTGGGGCCACCCATTTCTGCAAAAAAATAGATTTCGGTCCGGGGCTGGAAAAATTACGGTTTTGCCCCTGTGGACACCGATGTTGGATTTTGAGGTCGTTTGAGGTTATTTTTCGAGGTCAAGGTCATTTTAGAGTGGCCACGCATATTTGGAGTGGTTACGGCCAAAAATTAGAATTTCGACAAAAATTGGAAAAATAATATTATTTTATTCCCGGAACTTCGTAGTCGATTTTCGAGGACTTAGAAAGTGAATTTCGCGATTCTGACGCCATATTATGTTGGCCACGCACATATGGAACACGTATGTGCGAAAATTGGAATTTCGCCCCGGGACCAGAAAATTACGATTTTGCCCCTAGGCCTATTTTTGGGTATTCCGAATTTTGGGGATTTTGGAAATTGAATTTGGGGATTAAGTGTGGATAAATATCAGCCCCAAAATATTGGACAAAAACGCCCTTAGATATTTTGGTTTGGAAGAATGTGGACCAAGTGTTTTAGGGGCAAAATTGGAATTAAGAAAAAAATTGGTCAAACCTTGGACCAAATATTTAATTGTTTCTCTCCTCTCTCTCTCTCCTCATTCCCTCTCTTCTCTCGGCAGCCCCCCCCCCCCCCCAACAGAGAACTCTCTCCCTCTCTCCCTCACCAAAAATCCTCTCATCTCTCTCTCGGCCTTGGACCACCGATCATCGCCGGAGCATCGCCGGAGCAAGCCGCCACCACCGATCGCCGCCGGCCAGCCGTTCCCCCTTGCAGCTCTAGCCGAGTTAGTCTAGAGTTCGGGTAAGTCGCGATCTAATCCCTATTTAGGACGTCGGGTATTTTCGGACTCGTTCGGGTATGGTTTAGAGGATTTAGAGGTTAATTAAGGCGTTGATAATGATTATTGGTGGTTGATCATGGTTATTGGTGGCTGAGTATGGCTGGTAGTGGTTGTTGCGGGTTAGATTAGACGTCGGGAAATGACTTTTGGCGGTTGGAATTCGGTGGAAATCGGTTCGGGTTTGAATCCGTGAGGTTCGGGGTGAATCGCGGATTCACGGTTACTGTACCCGCCCGGTTTGCTATTTTTGTAGAGAATTTTGTGGGCTGAATTTGAAGAAGGTTTCTTCATGAAAGTTGTTCACAACATCTTGAGGTATAACATACTTTAATTTGGGAATTTTTGGAAATCATTTGAGGTCATTCGGAAGTCCATC